CCAGCTACACAGTACTGTGGCACAGGCGTGCCACCACCGCCCGGCAGCCACATACTTTCTAATCAATCTAAAATCTCTGGATCATAGTTTTCTCACTTATAAATGATAGATTCTTGGTGCAACAGTGAAGACAAGTTAGACCAATGTTGAAGAGTACTTGCAAAAAAGATTCACTGGCAGGTTTGTTGTTTGCTTCACATACTTAGTGGTCTCTTGCTTTCTTCATCTGTCAATAGAGAGCCTGTTTTATTTGAAGCATCTTCTTAGATTTATGATCTTGTTAGTATGTTCTCAGTGTCTGTCTGACCCCTTGGGCTTACCGCTCCTAACTCTAAGCCCTACATTTTACCGGGCAAATACTGCCCTACATTTTGTAGGGCAAATAGCAGGGCCAGCAGAATTCTGCTCCTTGACAGGCAAGAAGGTAATCTGGTTCAACATGCCTCAGTAGCTGGTGCTGGTTCAAACTTCTAGAGTCAGATCTTAGGCAGTTTGTTTTAGCCATATTTAAGCATGGTACCATGTTAGAAAAGAGTTTTCTAATGATAATTAACTCAATCCTGTGTGTTCAACAAAGCTTAAGATATATTTACATTGAAATTCTTTAAAAGTGCACATGACCTCTTTCTTAAAAGATAGGTTCTCTGACTCAGAAACTTAGTGTTTTTTTTAATTTATTTATTTATCATGTATACATTCTGCCTACATGCCAGAAGAGGGTGTCAGATCTCATTATGGATGGGGTTGCTGGGAATTGAACTCAGGACCTTTGGAAGAACAAAGAGTGCTCTTAACCTCTGAGCCATCTCTCCAGCCTGAAACTTAGTGTTTTTATTGCTGTGAAGAGATACCATGACCATGGCAACTCTTTTATTTTATTTTGATCATGTTTTGCCTGCATGTGTGTCTGTGTGAGGGTGTTGGATCCTGGAATTACAGATACTTGTGAGCTGCCATGTGGGTACTGGGAATCGAGCCCAGGTCTTCTGAATTAGCAGTCAGTGCTTTTAACTGCTGAGCCATTTCTCCAGGCCACTCCCTCCCCCACTTTTGATCACAGCAACTCTTATAAAGGAAAACATTTAATTTGGGTGGCTTCCTCATAGTTTCATAGGTTCAGTCCATTATCATCATCAAGGGGAGCATTGCAGTGTGCGGGCAGACATGGTGCTGGTAGTTGAGAGTCCTATGTCTTGCAAGCAACAGGAAGTCAACTGAGACACTGGGCAGTATCCTGAGCATTAGGAAACCCAAAGCCCACCCCCACAGTGACACACCTCCTCTAAGAAGGCCATATCTACTCCAACAAAGCCACACCTCCTGATAGTGATACTCCCTATGAGATTATGAAGGTCAGCTACATTCAAACTACCCCAGAAGCAATGCTCAGGATAAGAGTCTAGGGAGAAAGACTGGTAGTTAGGAGGGGCCTGGCCCTACAGATAACATAGAAGTTAACTAGGTTGTTGTAAAGTACTAGTAACATCTCCCATAAAGATTGGCTTCATTGACTGAGAGAGAATGCTCAGGACAAATGTTTAAGAAGAGTTTGGGATAAGCATAATCGTCTGGGGGTTCAGATGTGACCTGGCCCTATAATCAGCAGGGGTCACCGGCTATTAGCTACATCCACACCCAGCCTTCAGGGTGGACATCAGGTATACATCACCTTCATCAAGGAGACAATTCTGTGTATTTAACATTCCTGGTTTCTTCAGTGATTGTCTGTGAGTACAAGGATCTTGTGCACTCAACATTGAAAACATGATATTCAGATTATTGAAATAACTGGCAAAAATTGAGAGTAAATTTATACTTAATTGGAGACTATTCTCTGTAAATAACTTTAACCTCTATTTTTACTAAGAATTTTAGGTGCATTCATCTTGTAAATAAGCTAGCAAGAATACCAAGATTTGTTTGACAGGGTCTCATAGCCTCACTGATATGGAGCTTACTGTAAGACCCAGGCTAGCCTCAAATGTGTGGCGATCCTCCTATTTCAAAAAGTGCTAGGCTTACAGGCATGTGCCTGATTGAATACCAGGATTATGAGCTGAGTTTGGTTGTTTTTGTCTGTAGCCAGCAGTTTGAAGGTAGAGGCAGGAAGAGGAGTTCAGGGTCATGTTCACCCACATAGTGAGCTCAAGGCTAGCCTAGGTGACAGGAGACCCTGCCTCAAAAACAAAACCAACAAAAGATAAAGAAAATCAAGATTTGGGAATTTTCTGTTTGGACAAACTGTATTGGGTGTTAGGGAAGATGTGGGTCATAGCTCATCCCTCATCACCTTAGTCTAGGTTATTAATTTAATAGTAAATGAGAAGTAGCTTTTGCCGCTTAATGAGCCTTTTAAAAAGCAGTTTAAAAAGCTTTACTGGAAAACAACAACAACAAAGCTTTACTGGGTAGGCTCAGTGGTTGGGAGCAGTGGCTGCTCTTTTGGGGAACCCAGGGTTAGTTCCCAGAGCCCAAGTGACAGCTCATAAAGACATGTTAGCCTATGCTCTAACTTGAAGGCCTGAATGTCCAAATGCAGTTTTTGTGCATGAGGCTCTCCTGCCTTCCTTCCTGAAGTGATGGTAACTAAATGGTCACTTGCCTGATTCACAAGAGATGATGGGTTTGATGATTTCTGAGTCTCTTAAAAGAAGACAAAATAGCCGGGCGTTGGTGGTGCACGCCTTTAATCCCAGCACTTGGGAGGCAGAGGCAGGTGAATCTCTGTGAGTTCGAGAGCAGCCTGGTCTACAAGAGCTAGTTCCAGGACAGCCTCCAAAGCCACAGAGAAACCCTGTCTCGAAAAACCAAAAAAAAAAAAAAAAAAAAAGAAGACAAAGTAGAGTAGACTTGTCTACAAAGTAGATTTGTATGTAATTCTCTTAAATGCTGAAATGTGAGCATTGCCAGGGTTTGGGGTGAGATTGGTGTCACATGCCTTTAATCTCAGCACTTAAGGAGGCAGAGGCAGGTGAATCTTTGAGTTCAAGGCCAGCCTAATCTACCGATTGAGTTTCAGGACAATCAGGGCTACACAGAGAATCCCTTTCTTGAGAATCCAAAACCAAAACAAACAAACAAAAAAAAAAAAGAGGAAAAGATTATCTTTCTGGCTTTTCACAGATTTTTTTTTAAGTTTTTTTTTTTTTTTTCTTCCAAATCAGGGTTTCTCCTGGCTGTCCTGGAACTCCCTATGTAGACCACGCTGGCCTCAAACTGCAAGATCCACCTGCTTCTGTCTCCCAAGTGCTGAGATTAAAAGGTGTGCTACCACTGCCCAGCCAAGTTTTTAATTTTTAAAAATTAATCAATTAATTTTCTTCCTCCAACCCCATCAGTATCCTCTCCTTTCATGAGAACCTGAAGGAAGGGGTTGTGCCCAAGTCCAGTCGGGAATCTGTTTCATGATATCATGGCTCCCTCTCCTGGCATTAAGTGAAATTGCCTAGTGTTCATTAAATAGATATTTTCTCACCTAACACAGGTTGGAATGAAACTCAGTATGTATCCCAGGTACATGAGTTTTTTGCACTCATAGCAATCCTCTTGCCTCAACTTCTTAAGTGCTGGGATACAGGCATAAAACTAACAAATTTTATGTGCATTGGTACTTTGACGGAATGTGTAGCTGTGTGAAGGTGTAAGAACTGGAGCTGAATTACAGACAGTTGTGAGCCGCCTGTAATTGAACCCCTGGCCCTCTCGAGGAGCCGCCAGTGCTCTTAACCACTGAGCCATCTGTCCAACCTCTCCACCACATTCTTTTGAGATAGGTTCTCTCACTGAACTTGAGAAAGTTTCTGCTAATGTTTGTTTACCAAGATTGACCTCTGGCCTCTGATTAGGTACTGTTCCATAACAAAAGGAGATAACCCTGATTTACAGCCAGCCATTAGGACCCTGCTTATATCAAAGGACATGTCTCCCAATAGGCAGCTCAAGGAGTCAGTGCAAGGTTATCATGTCATTAAGTCTTTAACAGGAGATGCATAATTCCAGTAGGTAGTCAAGATGACCCTGGGTAATAACTATTTGAAAAGAACACTGCTTGGTTTACTTAAGTAATTATGGCAGTATCTTTGCTGTGTAAGTCTCACATCTGCCTAAGTGGCCAGACTTGAAATCCACTGTCTTTTTAAAAAATTGTTCAGTGTAACCTGAGGCAAGGACCTGAAAGAGATTTAAGGATAACGGTGTGTGTGTGTGTGTGTAATTATAAGCCTCGGGCTTGCTTAGGATGGTACAGTTCTCTGTCTAAAGCTGTTTCTTCTTGTGTATTATCCCAAACTATAGTTAATAGTTTGTCCATGCCCCGTAATCGGTTTCTCCATCAACACAGTAAGCTAGATCAAGCTGAATTGAAAACTAAAAGAACAGGTTTATTTGAGCAAAGCAACACCCAGATGAATTCTCCAGCCCCAGAGATGGAGGCTGGAGAAGTCATATGCCTGAACTAAAGCAGGGAGATTTTATAGCCTGTAGGTGAGGGATGATGTGCCCCACAAACTGGGTTTGTGCCCAGGTATAGTCAAAAGCTGGAATGCTTGATCAGGGACTTGGGCTGCTGGCAACTTCATGGGGAGGAGCTGCCCTAGCAACCAAGAATGTGGAACTGGGCTTTTTGGAGCCTTTTCTTTTTTAGAGATTCTCTGAGAGGGTGGGTTTGAAGAGGGGGAAAGAGAGGGAGATGGGGAGAGAGTAGAGAGGAGAGACAGGAATGGTGCTTTCCAGATCAAGCAGCAATTAGCTGGAGGTTCCAGCCCAACAGTAGTCATGTGCTATTGTTAAAGGATTTTTCCTCTATTAATCTCTAGGTGTGTGCAGTGATCTCACTAGCAAGGCATATTAATTCTGTCACAGCCTGGGATGACCTTGTTCTTAAACATATTACTATACATCTGTACACATTACAAACCAACAATATAGTGAGTGCTAGAATTATCCTTCTTATAATGTGTTTTTTTTTGGGGGGGGTGTTTGTTTGTTTGTTTGTTTTTTAGCTTTTGGAGACAGGGTTTCTCTGTCTATCCCTGGCTGTCCTAGTACTTGGTGTGTAGACCAAGCTGTCCTTGAACACAGAGATCTGCCTGTTTCTGCCTCCTGAGTGCTAGGATTAAAGGTGTGACGGACTTTTGTCAGTGGCTGTTGGGGATTTGGACTTCCCTCCTTGGTATGTATGGTAAGTGTTTCATCCAATGAGCTGTCTGCCCAGCTCCAGCTTTTGCTTATATGAGGTTGAAGAGTAAATCTCTTAGCTTAGCTGTGCAGGATCAGGAATTCATGCCTTATGTGGTGTCATGTGGTTTCTTTTTCATCTATGAGTTAGTGCCATGGAATAATCCTCTGTACACTATAAAGTTCTGTCACTCAAATTGGTTTTAATGAAATGCTGATTGAGCAGTTGCCCGGCAGGAAGTATAGGCAGGGTGACCAAACTAAGGATGATGGGAAGGAGAAGGGTGGAGTCAGGGGTTGAAGAGGTAGCAGGAGATGGCCATACCATGCTGATAAAGCTACCACCACATGGCAGAGTGTAAATAAGGAATATTGGTTAACTTAGATTGTAAGAGTTAGCTAGTAACAAGCCTGAGCTATCAGCCAAACAGTTATAAGTAATATTAAGCCTCCCAGTCAGTTATTTGGGAAGCAGCAGCATAGTATTTGGGAGTAAGCAGGTGGGAGAGAAACTTCTGTTTACAAGTTATCTCTTTGGTTCTTTTTTTAAGAATCATTTTTTAAGTAAAATGATTCATTTTACTTTTATCTATGTATGTGTGTGTGCACATGCTTGAGGGTGCTTATGAAGTTCAGGAGAGAGGGTATCAGATCTCATAGAGCTAGAGTTATAGGCAGTTGTGAGTAGCCTGCTGCAGGTGCTGGGAACTGAATCAAAGCCCTCTGCAAAAGCAACAAGTGCAGCCGGGTGTTGGTTGCTCATGCCTTTAATCCCAGCACTCAGGAGGCAGAGGCAGGCTGATCTCTGTGAGTTCGAGGCCAGCCTGGACTCTAGATCGAGTGAGTGCCAGGATAGGCTCCAAAGCTACACAGAGAAACCCTGTCCCGAAGGAAAAAAAAAAAAAAAAGCAACAAGTGCTTTTAACTTCTAAGCCATCTCTTTAGTTCCCATAAGTCCTTTTCTTTATTTTCTAAATATCATTATATTTATTTGCTTATTTTAGCTACATGGGCTTGTGTGTGTGTGTGTGTGTGTGTGTGTGTGTGTGTGTGTGGGTCAGAGGACAACTTTCAAGAACCCATTCTCTCTGCTCTATGGGTCCTTCCTGGGGATCAAATTCAGCTCCAATACCAAGGTTGGCAGTAAATGCCTTTCCCTGCTGAGCCATCTCTCCAGCACCTGATTCTCTGAAAGAGCTTTTAAACATCAGTGCTGAGGCTGCATCAACTGGTAGAGCATTTGCTTAATGAAGCCCTTGGTTGAATCACAACACTCCATAAACTTGAGAGGTGAGGCAGGAGAACCACGAGTTTAAGACCATTTGTGAAGCTGTAGTGGCACACAACTTTACTCCTAGCACATGAGAGGTAGAAGCAAGAGGATTTGTGTGAAGTCAAGAGACCTACCTGGTCTATACAGTGAACCCTAGAACAGCCAGGATTACATAGAGATGCACTGTCTCAAGAAAACCAAATAAAGGACCATTCTTGGCTACATAGCATTCAAGTCCTGCATGGGATACCCAAGGTTCTTTTTTTTGTTTTTAAAAGTATCTTGCCTGTATAGTCCCAGTTGGTTTTTGTTTGTTTGTTTGTTTGTTTGTTTGTTTGTTTGTTTTGGTTTTTTGAGACAAGTTTTCTCTGAGTAGCTTTGGAGCCTATCCTGGCACTCGATCTGGAGACCAGGCTGGCCTCAAACTCACAGAGATCGGCCTGCCTCTGCCTCCCGAGTGCTGGGATTAAAGGCGTGAGCCACCACCACCCGGCTAGTACAAGTTTTGGATGAAAGGTTTAGTTCAAATAGTATGGGATATTTCTGTGACTTGAACACTTTTTGTCCACATCAAATTTATGTAGTGCTTTAATTACCTAAATCTTACAGACATATATGTGTACACACACATAGACACTAACTTTTCTATGATTCCTATGAATGGCATTGGAAGGTTGGAGACTTACTCTGCTGTTTAGTGGGGGAGGGGTGGTCTTCAGGGGATGATGAGAACTATAAGGTTATTAAAGCACACAAATTAGTCCTGGTGGCTTTATAAAGACAAACACATAGGTATAGATAAACATACATGCTCTTCATCTTGTGCTGAGGTAATTGACACCCTCTCCCAAGGATTCTAACATCAAGACAGTATCACAAGATGAGATTCCTGAACCTTGCACCTCCAGAGCTGTGAGAGGAAACTCTCTTCCTCAAAAGTACCCTCCAATATTTTTTTATAGTAATGAAAAATGGAATAATGTATCAACCATTATTGGAAATTGAAATCCTATCTTTTTGTTTTTGTTTTTCAAGACAGGGTTTCTCTTTGTAGCTTTGGAGGCTGTCCTGGAACTTGTTCAGTAGATCCTCTTGTTTCTGCCTCCTGAGTGCTAGGATTTTAGGCTTGTGCCCCCATCACCGGGCTCTAACTACCTTTTTAATTGCAAATACAACACAGAGTCCATGAGATGACTCAGATGATGAAACACTTTCCATATAAACTTGGTGACCTGAGTTGCATCCCTAGAACCCAAGGAAAAGTGCAGGGAAAGAACCCACTCCACAGCTGTCTTCTGACCACATGTGCTGTGGCAATACACACAATAATAATGATAACAAAATAAAAAATACAATAGAAAAATATTCACTAAAGTGGAAAAGTTAGGTGAGAGGAGGTGGCTATTTGTGGTTCTGAACAGTTCAAAGGGTAAAATGAAGCCAACTGGTTCAGGTGAGATCTCTTCTGAAAGTGTAGGAATGGGTCATTTATGATGGGTGTTTGGACTCTCACCTAGATACTGTACATTGCCTCACTCCTCTACACCGTCAATTACATCTGGTATCTGTACTCAGAGCTGAGAATGAAACACAGCCAAAGTGGACAGAGCACAGCTGCACAGGTAAGCCGAGAAGGATCTCCCAGAGTGCTCGGTAAGCTCTTAACACTGAGTGTGTGGAAGCTGATGAAAATAATGTTCCTGCCAGGCGGTGGTGGCGCACACCTTTAATCCCAGCACTCGGGAGGTAGAGGCAGGCGGATCTCTGTGAGTTTGAGACCAGCCTAGTGTACAAGAGCTAGTTCCAGGACAGCCTCCAAAGCCATAGGAAACTCTGTCTCAAAAAAAGAAAGAAAGAAAGAAAGAAAGAAAGAAAGAAAGAAAGAAAGAAAGAAAGAAAGAAAATGATGTTCACATAGTTTCCATCTGTTGACATCACTTCCTCTCCTCCCTTGGCATACAAAAGATTTGTTTGTTTGATTGGTGTTTTGTTTTTCAAACAGGGTTTCTCTATATGGCCCTGGCTGCCCTGTAATTCACTATGTAGACCAGGCTGGCCTCAAACTCCAACTAACAAAGATCTTCTTGCCTCTGCCTTCCTGAGTTCTGGGATTAAAAGCATGCACCATCACATTCAATTTAGTCATTATTTTTTGTTTGTTTTTTGCGGGGGGGGGGGGGGGGGGGGTTTGGGGGCGGGGTTTTTCTTTGGTTTTGGTGTCCTGGAACTAGCTCTTATAGACCAGGCTGGTCTCGAACTCATGGAGAATCCACCTGCCTCTGCCTCCCGAGTGCTGGGATTAAAGGCGTACGCCACCAACGCCCAACTACACAGGCCTATTTTAATCTTGTACATCTTACTAAATAGTCTAATCTTACTTCTGCAGTATTCACTACTTTTGTTTTTTTATAAATAGGTTTTTACTTACTCACTTTTTTTTTTTTTGGTTTTTCGAGACAGGGTTTCTCTGTGTAGCTTTGGAGGCTGTCCTGGCACTTGCTCTGGAGACCAGGCTGGCCTCAAACTCACAGAGATCCGCCAACCTCTGCCTCCTGAGTGCTGGGATTAAAGGCATGTGCCACCAACGCCCAGCTATTTACTCACTTTCTAAATATTTATTTTATGTGTATGAGTGACCTGTCTTCATGCACACCAGAAGAAGGAATCAGATCCCATTACAGATAGCTGTGAGCCACCATGTGGTTGCTGGGAATTGAACTCAGGACCTCTGGAAGAACAGCCAGTATTTCTCCAGCCCCCCCCCCCCCTTTTAAACTATTGTTAAGAACATGATAAACGATCTGGAAAGCTGCTCTGCCCATTCCCTAGAGCCTGCAGATTACTTCTTAAACAAAGGAGACTATCCTAGGGAACACATGAAATAGCCCAGTAAATATCTGTTGTATGAGTAGGTGGAAGACTGTGTGCATTAAATGCATTAGTGATTAACTCAGATTCATCAATAATACATCAGTATTGCATTAACAATAGAAATAAAAGCATTTCCCTTTGGAGTCACTTAAACAAGAGTGAGTCCATATTTGAATTCTCTACTTCATGCTCTCTGTGTCTTCTGTCCCTGTGTCTGTCTGTCCCTCCCAGAGGGCTTTGCTCTGTCTTTATTAAACAGCACAGAAGACTCACAGGAGGAGGCAGGGGAGATGCTTTACAGGATCTTTAGCAGAATTTTACGGGGGATGAAGTCACTACCTCCAACTGACCCAGATAACAAACATCATTTATTTTATTTTATTTTCTAAATTTCTTGTGCATTTATGTTTTTTACCTGCAAGTATGTCCATATGTGGGTGCTGGATCCCCCTGGAACTGGAGTTACAGACAGGTGTGAGCTGACATGTGGATGCTGGGAATTGAACCCAGAGCCTATGGAAGAACTGCCAGTGCTCTTAACCACTAAGCCATCTCCCTAGCCTCACAAATGTCATTCTTTATCAACTAATATCCAAATGTTGAGTTCAACATTTATGGTGGATATTAATTTTAGATGGTTGCTTTCAACTTATATATTTTCTGCTTTTAGCAAATGCATCATCTCATATTTTGTTTAAAAGGCTCTTGCTATGTAGCTAATGCTGGCCCACAACTCACTATGTGGCCAAGACAATTAGGCCTCAAGTTTTCATCTAAAATTAAGTATTAATCTATATATTCTATAGTGCCTCTTCCAGCTTCCAGCACCAAGATGCTGTGCTCGTGAAAATATTTATTGAAGATGTTCACTGTTAAGGGTAGGAACAGAGAATTTTATCTCTTCTTTTCTCTGGTCCCTATTTCTCTTAGAACAGGGAAAAATTAATGAAATGTGACGTGAAAAGTACCCATAAGCAGCATCTTAAACAAGATACTATAGTCTATACAAAAGCTATTCAGTGAAACTTCTTGGAGGCAGGTTTTTACTATGTAGACCAGCTGGCCTTGAACTCACAGGGATCTGCTTGCTTCTGCCCTCCAAGTGCTGGAACTAAAGGAGTATACCACCACAATTGGTAGCACATATGTTTTATATCAGTAGCTACTAGCCATGAGTGGCCACTGACCACTTGTAATATGACTGCCAAATGAAGGAACCGCTGCAGGGAACTCAGGCTTTGAGGCAGAGTCTCTCCCACTCTAGCCCTGGCTGGGGCAGGATTAGAATTTGCTGTGTCATTTAGGCTGGTTTCTTTTTTATTATTATTATTTTTATTTATTTATTTTTTTATTTTTATTTTTTTGGTTTTTCAAGACAGGGTTTCTCTGTGTAGCTTTGGAGTCTATCCTGGCACTTGCTCTGGAGACCAGGCTGGGCTCGAACTCACAGAGATCTGCCTGCCTCTGCCTCCCGAGTGCTGAGATTAAAGGCGTGCACCACCAAGGCCCGGCCTATCATTTAGGCTGGTTTCTAACTTGCAGCAATCTTACTGCCTCTGCCTTCCAAATTCTGGGTTCAAAGGCATATGCTATCATGCCTAACAGGAGTTGACATTTTCATTTTATTTAGTTTTAGTGTAAGTAGCTATGTGTGGGTAGTAGCTGTGTGTACAACCAGAACTCCACTCTGCTGCCATTTTATCTTGCCCACTCTGGGCATTCCATAGGCATAGGCGTCTTCTGCACCTTAACATTGCATGATCCCTCCAGGAAGGAAGGACCTGTGACTACTTACCCCTTTACACACTTGTCTGTATAAATGGAAGATACTGCAAAGGACTACGATTTTGTTTTTTTCTCTTTGGGCAGATGAGTGCCTCAAAGCACAGCAGCAACTCCCAGGGCTTTGTCCACAACTTCACTCAAAGCCCTGGGGCTGAGCTGGTGCTCCACTGACCAAGTGTGAAAAGCAAACCCCATAGGCCATGAACTTTCTATCATAATACAAAGTTCATAGCAGTCATGCTGCTGTAAATTGTTCAGTCTCTGATGCAAGCGGGGAGTGTTCATCTGTCTGTCTATCTGGGGGTGCTATGGATTTGAAACCAACTCTTTTCTATAGTAAGTACATATTCCATCACTCTATGTAATACAATATTCTCTGTGTGTGGTGTATGTGTAGTGTGTGTGACTGTGTGTCAGTGCACAGAGGTCAGTAGTTAACACCAGCTGCTTTCCTCTGTTGCTGTCTACCTTTCATGTTTTGTTTGGTTTTCTAAGACAGGGTTTCTCTGTATAACAGTTCTGGCTGTGCTGGAACTCACTCTCTAGACCAGGCTGGCCTCAAACTCACAGAAATCTGTCTGCTTCTGCCTCCCAAATGCTTGGATTAAAGGAGTGTACCAACACCACCCAATGCTCTCCACCTTTTTTGTTTTTTGTTTTTGTTTTTGAGACATTATTTCTCACTGAACCTGGATTTTGCCATTTGTGTTAGTCTGATTGACCTGTGCATAGCCCCCAGGGTTGGTCTCTCTTCCCTTGCCTCCTCCACAGTGCTAGCTAGGGTTGCTGACAAGTGCTGCTATGCCTGATTTCTTGTGTGGGTGCTAGGGATCTGAACTGAGGTTCCTGTGATTGCTCAGAAACCACTTTATCTACTGAAAAATCTCCTAAGTCTCCAGATTTTAAATGTTCCATTCTATAGAATGCAATGTTCTTATATCCAAAGGTTCCTTTGACACTGTCATGTCAACATTGGCCTACTGATATTCTGTGCTGGCCAACTTATGCACAGCTTCATTGACACATACCTTTCTTTTTTAAAAGAATAAAATGCCCTATGATTTCATATATGCTTTTATTCTTAAAAGAATTTGTTTCAGCACTCAAGCCTTGGATTAAATTACTTCCTGTAGTCTTCTGTTTTTGTTTGTTTGTTTGCTTTGCTTTTTCAAGACAGGGTTTCTCTGTGGCTTTGGAGGCTGTCCTGGAACTAGCTCTTGCAGGCCAGGCTGGTCTTGAACTCACAGAGATCCTCCTGCCTCTGCCTCCCGAGTGCTGTGACTAAAGGTGTGTGCCACAAACGCCCAGCTTTAGTCTTCTGTTTTTATTATTATTGTTTCTTTTTGGCACAGTAATATAGTTAAAACTGTGCTCTCCAGTACCATGGCTGACAAAGCAACGGGGCTGCTGGAAGTGTGTGTGTGTGTGTGTGTGTGTGTGTGTGTGTGTGTGTGTGTGTGTGTGTGTGTGTGTGTTTGTGTGTTTTGGCATTGGCCCTAACATTTTTCACATCTATTCTTTTTACAGTTGATAGATCATACTTGCCAAAGTGGTAACATAGTGTTCATTTTGTCAAGGTAAGATTTTTTTCTACTTAGTAAGGTACCAAAGGAACAAATGACCTGTTACTCTTCATTTCCACTGTCACTCCCCTGTCTTTTCAGGGCATTAAATGATAGGAAGCAACAAATATAATCATTTCTTCCTTTCCCCAGTTTGGTATTAGAGAGCTGGGTTTTAGCTACAGCCCTATAACACCAATTCTATGTGACTTTGAACAAACCTCTTTTTTGCATTGGCATGCATGTGAGTTCAGGAGTTTATGTGTCAGGTGTGTGCTTCTGTGCATGCATATGAAGGCTAAGGCTTGGTGTTGGCCCCTTTCCTTTGTCACTCTCTATCTTACACAACAAGGCAGTCTCTCACAGAAGCCAGAGCTCAGCATACCTGCTAGTTGGATCAGCTACCTTGCCTTGTGGGTTCATTTTTCTGGCTCCTGTGTGCTGGACAACAGGCTGGCCTCAAGAGCTGTCAGCTTCTTATGTGGGTTCTGGGCATCCTATTGTATACCATTCCAGTCCTCAGGCTTAGGCAGCAAACACTTTGCCTTTGGATCCCAGCTCTCAAACTCAGTCTACCTTATAACATCGCATGAGAATTGTAGTCCAGAAAGAATCTAGAGTTCAGACAAAGTAGTCACACTGGTTTTAGTCTTTACAACTTTCTCCCAAATCCCTTCTAGAGCAATGCTGTATTTAAGTAGATAAATAGTTGTCTGTCTAAAGAGTGAGTACACAGGGAAAGTAAGGACAAAAATTAATCTGGCAATTGCAGTGTGAAGGAGACCATGCAGGGCTGCTCCATAGTTTTCTTTCTTTCATTCATTTGGTTGGTTTTTTGTTTTTGTTTGTTTTTCGAGACAGGGTTTCTCTCTGTAGCCCTGGCTGTTGTGGAACTCAATCTGTAAGACCAGGCTCGTCTGTCAAACACAAAGAGATCCTTCTGCCTCTGCCTTCTGAGTGCTGGGATTAAGGGTGTGAACCACCACTGCCTGGCAACTCCATAGTTTTTTTTTTATGTAGATTTTTTCACGTAAATTTTGTTTTGTTTTGTTTTGCTTTTTTGAGACAGTCTTGTTGTGTAGCTCAGACTGGCCTCAAAATCAAGATCCTTCTGCCCCACCTTCCTGTATGCTAAGATTATAAGCCTGCATCACTATACCCAACCTCACTTAGAGTCTGATTCATTTCTTTTCTTCTACTTAGATTGTATGTATGTTTGCATATGCCAATCACATGTGCCTGTAGAGAGTATGTGCACATGGAAGCAGGTGTTAGGTATCTTCCTCTGTCACTTTGTACTTTATTTTTTTAAAGATTTATTTATTTATTATGTGTACAATGTTCTGCCTGCATGTATCCCTGCAGGCCAGAAGAGGGCACCAGATCTCATAACAGATGGTTGTGAGCCACCTTGTGGTTGCTGGGAATTGAACTCAGAACTTCTGGAAGAGCAGCCAGTGAGTTCTCTTGACTTCTGAGCCATCTCTCCAACCCAACACCTTATTTTTTGAGATAGTATCTCTAATTGAACTTGGAATTCACCATTTGGCTAGCCAGTGAGCTCTGGGGATCCATCCATTCCTGCACCATCCCTAGCCCCAGGGGTACAGATGCACTTCCATGCCCTGACTTTTCTTGGGTAGTGGGGATCAAACTCGGATTCTCATGTTTGCATAGCAAATACTTTACTGAGTGAACCAACTCCCTAGCCATCTTGCCATCCTTTAGATTTCTTTTTCTCTCTTCCTTTCTCTTTTTTTTCTTCTCTTCCCTTTTCTCGTTTGTTCATTCATTCTTTTGGTTTTTGAGAGAGGGTTTCCCTGTGAAACAGTCCTGGCTGTCCTGGAATTCACTCTGTAGAACTCACAGAGATCTGCCTACCTCTGCCTCCCATGTGCTGGGATTAAAGGCGTGGGCCACCACTTTCTAGACCAGCAGATTTTTATCTGACTATAATTCCGAAGATTCTCAAGAAACTGTTAAGAGATTGACTTAGATATAAAACCCACTTCATAGCTGGGCTTTGGTGGCGCACGCCTTTAATCCCAGCACTCGGGAGGCAGAGGCAGGTGGATCTCTGTGAGTTCGAGGCCAGCCTGGTCTCCAGAGCCAGTGCCAGGACAAGCCTCCAAAGCTACACAGAGAAACCCTGTCTTGAAAAACCAAAAATGAATAAATAAATTAATAAATAACCCACTTCACAATGCAGTTCATCAGGAAATAGAAAATAAGGATAGCTATATTATTTAAGATGTTTTTCTTCATGTATGTCAGTTGTGGGGAGTTGGTGGGGTAATATAGTTGGAGAAAGGAGACTATTTTACAAAAGGGGAAAAGGCATGAAAATTTCCAGGTAATTGCACAATAAGTTTTCTCCTCCCAGCCTGATACCTCTGCTGTTGATGACACCTGTATTTTGCCTGGGCAATGTCAATGGATGTTTCCACAACTCTAGCCAGAGCCACAGGTAAGGAAGGACTAACTCTGGTTTTTATTTGTTCTTTTCTATAACAGAGTAAAAAGGGGGAAAATTCTACATACTTTCTAGCCAAGATGTTTTGTTTTGGTGTTTGTGACCACTGAGAAAAGATCATATATTCAATTCAGTTATAATTAAAATATGTACTGTTTAACTGCTGGCAAGATAAGCAATCTCAGAACCAAATTTGAGATTGCCATTACAGAAGGAGTATGTGGAAGGATTATTAAAGGGAAAAACTACACAGAGACTTTCAGTATCTATGAAGCAAATAAAACTGTTCTGTTCTACCAAATTAAGTGATTAAAGTATCTCAAAACAGTCTTTGGGTGTCTGCATAAGTAAGTTACAGGGATCTCTGTGAGTTCGAGACTAGCCTGGTCTACAAAGGCTAGTTCCATGACAGCCTCCAAAGTCACAAAGAAACCCTGTCTCAAAAAACAAACAAACAAAAGCCGTTAGACATAGATAGCCACGGATGTACATTTTTGGGTGAGTGTTACTGAGTCAGAGGTACTGGTGTTGTAGGGTCCAAGAAGACCCAAAACAACCCAAACACACAAGAGCTCATGCAAAGCAAGTTCCAGCAGTACAGACTTGGAAGCTGTGTCTTTGAATGTTCATTTCAGCAAGTATTTAAGCAGAAAACGACAGATATCTGTGCCAAGTTACACTTACATTTCCCTCCAACCAGCATGCAAAGATGAGGGCCTTTTCTAGGGACGTTGCTTTTTTGTTTTTTTGTTTTGTTTTGTTTTCGAGACAGGGTTTCTTTGTGTAGCTTCAGAGCCTATCCTGGCGCTGACTCTGGAGACCAGGCTGGCCTCGAACTAACAGAGATCCACCGGCCTCTGCTTCCCGAGTGCTGGGATTAAAGGCATGTGCCACCAACGCCCGGCTCCTAGGGACATTGTTGTGTGGCACACTTCTCTTGTCCTCACTGGTTGTCCACTCAAGTGTGGCAGGGCAGCTTGCCCCATTCATGTCTGTCTACCATTCATGTCTTACCTTGTCAACCAAGATGCAAATGTTGTCAGTTATCAGGGAGATCTAAGGAGGCATTAGGAACTTAAAGTTTATTTCACCATGCTTTTTAAGATGGCTTCAGTTTTGTTCCTTCTTATACTGGAAACTTACCTTCCAGGAACTGGAGTCAACAACAAACAATTGGTGGGTACCAAAATGGATGTCTAGCATACAATGGGTCTTCTTTAGTCATACAGTTTGTTTTACATATGGTTGTAGCTCAGGCAGTAGAATGTTTTCTGTGCTTATGCAGTCTTGGCTTGGATCCCCAGCACTGCAGATAGTGTGTGTGGTGGTGCACACCTGTGACTTCAGCACACAGGAGGTGGAGACAGGAGGTTAGAGTTTCATGGTCATCTTGAATTACTTATCAGTTTGAGGCCAACCTGGGCGACATCAGACCCTGCCTCAAAAAAAAAAAAATGCTTGTTTTGGAAATGGGTTCTAGACATAACATGATGTAGTCAGGCTGAAGATACACAAGGAAACAGACAGTATTGAGTGACTTCAAGATATTTCATCTGTGGGAAGGAATAAGATGCTATAGTTATAGGCAAGAGCCCCAAAAATGATAAGTACAGTTACTCACTGTTCCAGATAGTTTTCTGTCAACCTGACAGAAGCTAAAGGCCTCAGATTGGAGGGATCCTTAATTGAGAAAGTGCCTTCAGGAGATCGGGCTGCAGGCAAGCCTGTAGAGGGTTTTCTTCATTAGTGACTGGTGTTGGTGGAACCAGGCAACTGTGAGTGGTGCCATCCCTGGCCTGGTGGTTCTGGGTTCTATAGGAAAGCAGGCTAAGCAAACCATGGGGAGCATTCCAGTAAGCAGTATCCCTCCATGGCCTCTGCCTCAATGTTCCTGCCCTGACTTCCTTCAGTGATGGACTAAGATGTGGAAGAATAAGCCAAATAAACCCTTTCCTCCCTGGCTTGCTTATGGTCATGGTGTTTGGTCACAGCAATAGTGATCCTAACTAAGACATTCAGTTCTTGTTCTGTTTCTCCTGTCTTGTCCTTGTCGTATCATCCTGCCCATTGGTTCTCTCCTCAGGTGTGTCCTAATGCACTCTCCACCCTCAGCCATGATTGAACTCCTGCCTTCCACCAACACATCTGTCTGCAGCACACTGTATTTTTATGGCGTCACTGTTTTCCTGACCAGCTTTTTCTTCAGCCTCCTCATCATCACGGTATGGCATCACCTCTCTGTTATGGCAGAAATGAAGGACTAGGAGAGATAGGTGATATTCCAAGGCTGGAACCATGCAAGAGACATTTCCTGTACATCCAGCACCAGGGAAGTGGTCATGGCTGAGGATGTGGCTTAGGTGGGGTAGAACACTTCGCTAGAATGCAGAGAGCAGGTGAAGCTGAAATGGGATCATCCTCAGCTACATAGAGCCTGTCTGGGCTGTATATAAGAGCCTTTCTCCCAGAACTTAGGAGGCAGAGGCAGGTGGATCTCTGTGAGTTCAAGGCCAGCTAGGTCTGTAGAGCTAGTTCCAGACAGCCAGGACTGTTACACAGAGAAACCCCATCTTGGGGAAAAAAAAAGGAAAGTGACTAGGAGATGTTGACAATGTAATTACTGCCTTTGGTTTTTGGACTTCACAAAATCAAACAATGAGCAGCAAAAAAAGCTTGTATTAGTTAGGTGACAATCATGTTCACTCTAAAATTAATGTGTTTCTTTGATTCCCATGAGGACCCAGAGTAGATCATAGGACACAGATGTATCCTTTACGTAAGTGACACTCTGAAACAAAGAACCTGTGCTTTGATTTAATTTCTCAGATAATGAAAGCACGTTCTTTTTTTTTTTCCCAGAGACTATTTCTTCAGCCTTGGCTGGCCTCTGTAGACCAGGCTGGCCTCAACCTCACAGAGATCCTCCTTCCTCTGCCTCCAACTGCTGGGATTAAAAATGTATGCCACCATTGGTTGGCTGAGAAAAGATTTTCAAAAACTCTTTTTTTACTTGGAGTTGAGAATTTAATCTCAGCCTTTGTACTGATGAACTTCAGGGTACTTAGCATAAAACATGGTCTTGGCCGGACTTTGGTGTTGCACACCTTTAATCCCAGCACTCGGGAGGCAGAGGCAGGCGGATCTCTGTGAGTTCGAGACCAGCCTGGTCTACAAGAGCTAGTTCCAGGACAGTCTCCAAAGCCACAGAGAAACCCTGCCTCGAAAAAACAACAACAAAAAACAAAACAAAACAAAAAACAAACATGGTCTTGAAGAATCTCTAATAAGAGATGTGTTCGTTAGATCTCACTTTAACTTCCTGGGTGGCAATGTAGGTCATTAGTACAATACTTGCCTATTATTACAAGTCTGTGGGTTTGATTCCCACCTCCATAAGAAAACACATGCCTTCCCATATATATTATGATTTGTTTGAGGTTGGGAAAGCTGGGGGTTGATGATGCTCACACACTGAACATAACTCTGTTTGGTTAGTATCTGTTTGTCTACATTAAAATTCCCGCTGGATAATTCTCTAAAGTCTGCTCTCATGGTAAAGAAGGAGAGTAGTTTTTCCTGACATGATGAGCTCCTTGTAGAGTGAGCCTTCTAAAGTGCTGAAATTTTAACTAAGCCATAGGCTGACTACTCACAATTACACTCATGTTTAGGTCTTACTCCTCCATGCCCAGACATTGTATAAGAAGTTTGTGAAATCGACAGGTTTTCTGGAGAGTGAGCAGTGGGCAGTGATTTACATTGTGGGTCAGCGAGTTCGCTTCTTCCCGGTGGCCTTTGTATGCTGTTGGGGCCCAGGTTGGTATCTTAATAAAAAGAACTGGGAGGTGGTGACTGTGGGGTTTGCCAAACAAAATGATCTCACCCAAATCATGACTGCATATTCCTGTCTAGCTTGTAAATTTTATTTATTTACTTACTGCTTTATTTTTTGAGACAGAGTCTCATTATGTAGCCCCACCCCTACCCCCGGGGCCTCAAACACACAGAGGACCACCTACAGCCTCTGCCTCAAATTGCTGGAATTAAAGACATGTACCATTCTGTCTGGCATTAATCTGAAAGTTTTAATCAGTAAAGACCCAGAAATCAAAGCCAAAAGCTCAGGGGTTTGCATAACTGATTAATCTCAGTGCTGATCTTCATTTACCTGTAGCTTCTGTTCATGGAATGCTCAGGCATGTGCACTTAGAGCTAACAGCAGGTCACACATTGTGTATTTGCAGCTGTCACACTGCTAATCATAAAACTGGTCAAGCCACAGGATACCTCATTGCACATGGCTTTCTCTGTGCTCCAGGTAAGACCTTCCAAAGCCAGAGTCTCTTGTCTTGTGCCTCCATGAACTATTCTCTTGCACTGCCATTTAAAAGACACACGGTATTTTCCTTCAGTATATTTATTTGTGCATTACAGAAGAGAACATCTAATGTTTGTGCTCACTTGGAAGGAATAAAACCATTTCTTCAAAGGCAAGCTAGTCTAAGTGTTTTTGGGTCTAGTTTGGAGCACAGGTATTTTTGGGCAACTTAGTTTTGTTATGTTGAAGCTATGGGTGATAGAATAAGATCTCCCAGGGTATATTCTTGTGAGGCACTGGTGGTGGTGATGCTCTCCCATCCAGAGTGAATCAAATGGCACAAATTAACTGTTCATAGTGAGTAGTGAACAGTAAAGGAATGCTTTCCTCTTTCCTCCATTGTCAGAAGAAAACTTCTTAGAACAGTTTCTATGAGAATTGGGTCAGCAGTTGAGGCCATTTTATTGTCCTCATCTATATACTAAACAGTGTAACTAGCTATCAGCTGTCCACAGCAAGATATAACATGAAGAGTTTAGATGAGCTTGTATATAATTCAGTAGCTCAAATGGCAATACAGCACTATAGGGTTGGGACTTTATGTCTGTAGCTTGGGTTCCATCATTCTCCATCTCCTGCAGGCTCTCACAGCAGCATCCCAGGGTCTGCTCAACTGTGGCATATATGGCTGGACACAGTGCAAGTTCCAGCAGCTAAAGCGTGAGCTTCGCTGTGACGCAGACACCCAGACCCCATTGCTGTGTTCACAGAAGAGAATCTATTGCAGGAGCCTAGCCCTAGGCCCACCGGACTCTTCTCTTACTTTTGCTCCCAGCTCTTCCACCATTCTTTGAAACTAGAACATCCGGGAAGGGAATGTTTCATGTGAGTGGACTCTGCAGGTCTGCAGGGAGCACCCCCATTTCTTCTGGCCATACCCCAGACTGAAGAACTGCAAGTGAATGTAGGGCTGTGGTCAGTAGTGATTCTGAGTGAATTAAGAAGGATCTCTCCAGTTGTTGGTTCAGAAAGATATGGCCACTTTCCATCTAAGAGACTCATTACTTTTTCAAATACTAGATTTATTTACATCTCTTCAAGAAAAAATAAATTTCAGGTTCATAAATTTGTGTGTCATTTGCAAACTCTGTGAAAGCAAGGGAAGTAGGAAACCATGCAACAACTTGCAGGTGTGCAGTTGGGGCTATTGCAGTGAGGTTGCATGGAGGCCTGAGAACGCTCACACAGTCAAATGCTCTGCCATATACCTTACTCTTAGTGTTTTGGTGTTTTTCAAGTTGTTTGATATAACAGTTTTGTTTTGTTTTTTGTTTTTTTTCTGAGACGGGGTTTCTCTGTAGCTTTGGAGGCTGTCCTGGAACTAGCTCTTGTAGACCAGCCTGGCCTCAAACTCAGAGATCCACCTGCCTCTGCCTCCCAAGTGCTGGGATTAAAGGAATGCACCACCACTGCCCAGTGTATATATAGCAGTTTTTGTTTGTTTGTTTGTTTGTTTGTTTGGTTGGTTGGTTGGTTGGTTTTTGGAGACAGGGTTTCTCTGTGTAGCTTTGGAGCCTATCCTGGCACTCGCCCTGGAGACCAGGCTGGCCTCGAACTCACAGAGATCCACCCACCTATGCCTCCCGAGTGCTGGTATTAAAGGCGTGCGCCACCAACACCCGGCTAACAGTTTTTATATATAAATTTTTTTTAAAAAAAACTTTATTTAAAATATAAGTAGATTTGGTGGCTATATCCATCTGAAATATTTATGGTTGAGTAAAGCTTCCTTAGTGACCATAAGAGCCATGGTGGCAGAATCATATGTCCTATACATGGTGAGAGGGATTGATCATAGTTGAAATGGAAACTACAGAGGCCCCACAATTAGAGCCAAGGCTCCCAGGACAGTGACAGTAGTCACCACAGCTTAGCCATTCCCAGGGTTCTTAGTGTTCCCAACATCATTGTTCTGTGAGCCCTACCAGGCCCAAGACAGCTCTCTGCTTTCTCCATAACATCAACTGTCAGTACAGCATCTAGACCATTTCCTAGGGTTTCTTTTGCAGACATACTGGTAGTACTTCTGGGCAGCAGTGAGACCACAAGTTCTCCAGGGTTTAGGTCAGAAGAAACAGAAGTGACCTAAAGTGAGTTTCCTGAGCACACCTATCAGTTCTTGATTTGCAAGGTCTGCCATAGGTAGTGGTAGGGACTGTGCCAGCAAACAGCTTGTAACAGAACCCTACCCACAAAAAGCCCTGTGCTTTGACTTGTGGGTTATGTCTGCATCCAGTCTGTAATAGCTAAAGCCAAAACAAAAGGCATGTCTATGTATAAGAACATAGTTTAACCACAGATAAGGGCTGGAGAGATGGCTCAGAGGTTAAGAGCACTGGTTATTCTTCCAGAGGACCTGAGTTCAATTCCCAGCAACCACATGGTGGCTCACAATAATGAGATCTGGTGCCCTCTTGTGGTGTGCAGACAGAATACTGTATATATAATAAATAAATAAATAAAATCTTAAAAAATATAACTACAGGGCGGGCCATGGTGGCGCCAGCCTTTAATCCCAGCACTCGGGAGGCAGAGGCAGGCAGATCTCTGTGAGTTTGAGGCCAGCCTGGACTCCAGAGAGAGTACCAGGATAGACTCCAAAGCTACACAGAGAATCCCTGTCTCAAAAAACAAAAAACAAAAACAAAACAAAACAAAACTACAGATAAACTAATATGCCATGGAACACTAGTAAAATAGAATAATTTAAGAAAAAATCATTAGCTGGGCATTGGTGGCACATGCCTTTAATCCCAGCACTCGGGAGGCACTCACTCTCTGTGAGTTCCAGACCAGCCTGGTCTACAAGAGCTAGTTCCAGGACAGCCTCCATAGCCACAGAGAAACCCTGTCTTGAAAAAAAAAAAAAAGAAAAAAAATCATTGAGTGTAAGACTTAATGAATTGCCCGCTTTAGAAAAAGATAATAGGCTTATTTATAAAAGATGGTCCTCAAATACAAATATATATATGAACATGGAAAGGATTTGGAAAATGTGGAAATAGGTTCACAGAGATTTCCAGAACAAGGGTTCAGAGACCTGTAGCCAGTATAGAAGGAAGACAGGACATGGTGAGCAAGAGAAATGAAGACATCATTTTGTTAAAGGGAGGAGCATGTAGAATCTGAGAAACACAGAGGGTGAGACCCAGTGCTGTAAAAGTGTACATTTTCAGTGCAGGCTTAGTAAGGTATGGTCATCATTGATATTTGAACACTTCATAGGCCATGTGCCTCCAGACGAGGTTGCCTTCCAGCACTCTTTATTATGGTTTTTCATGACAGGGTTTCTCTGTGTAACAGTCCTGGCTGTCCTGGAATGCACTCTGTAGACCAGGCTGGCCTCGAACTCACAGAGATCTGCCTGCCTCTGCCACTGGGAAAGCCTGATTAAGAAGACATGGGAAAATTTGAAGCTGGGTCACAAAGCAGGGTGAAAACTTAGTTTTACTTCTTTTCTATTGATGGAAGAAGAGCTATTTTCTCCCCGCTTTGAAAAACCACCTGAGCTATTCCGAATTCAACCACAATGACAAAACTCCGTTTCAGAAGAAATCTGGAGAAACAATAAGCCATTTTTCTTTTCAAGTAAAGGTGACGCTTTGATCTGAATGCGATACCTTACACCTCTAATCTCAGGACTTCAGAGGCTGAGGCAGAAAGATTACCTTGGGGTTGAGGCCAGCCTGGCCTACACAGTCAGAAGCCAGTCCCTGGGTTACATATGTGAGACACTATGTAAAAAACAAACAAAAGTAACACTCTGTTTTCATCAAGTACAGAACTGTATCAATTTGGGGTTATCTTGTTTTAGTTTTCTTCAATTGAGCTCCAGACAAGGGAGTTGAGTTTGACTCAATGGGATGACAAAAGATGTGCTGTCAGGCCCAAGGAGAGACCCATCTGCTCCTGGTCCCCCTAGGACAAGCATGACCCTTGGACTGCAGAGCATCAATATCTGCAGCATGTATTCCACATTGTAACTTCCCTTTGTTTCTCCCAAGTCTGAAGACAAATCTAGAATCTGGAATTGGCTTTAAGAAACTAAGGTAAGTGCTGGGTTCTTGGCTGGCCTGAGGCAGCCCAGAGAAGGCAGGAAGAAGGTAGCAAGACATCACCAAACTCAGCTGGGGAGTATGGTCCTATGGGGTACCAACATGTGGAGTACTGGATATCTTCCTCATAATGCCACAAGCAGGTGGGCAAGATGATTCATGAGAAAGGCTGTACTTTCTAGAAACAGAGCACAAAATAACTTTGATTAGCTTCACTTTGTTTTTTAGACTAAGTCTTGCTAGGTAACCCAGGTTGGCCTCAAACTTGCAATCTCCTTGTCTCAGCCTTCTGAAAGCTGGTAGTATGGCAAGCACCACCATCAAGACTGGCTTTGTACCGGCTGCTTCTTCCTCTTCCTCTTCCATATGTGTTTGTTATTGTGTAGCGTTCATGTGTGTACAGATTGGGGGATGGCTGTTCGTGTGCACACAGGGTAGAAGAGGTGTTTAGCAACCTCCTCCATCACTCTCAGCCTATTCTTTGAATCAGGGTCTTTCCCTGAACCCAGAGCTTGCAGAAGCCATCAAGTCCCAAGGATCCTCTTGTTTGTTGCCACTTTGGGTTATGGGCCTGTACAAGATACCTGTCTTGTCTCTTGTTAAGTAAGAGCAGGAGTCTGAACTCCAGGCCTCATGACTGTACAGCAAGCACTCTTGCTCTGGAGCTGTGGCTGATGTCTGTAATGCTGGCTTCTTAACTCAAGATCCAATGTTAGGGCTGTCTTCCTTATGAGGTACAACCTTTCCCACACAGTTACACAACAGAACAGACTCAATATATTACATGGGACCTGAAGACAAGTTTAACATTAGCAGTTTTATTTAAAGACTCATCCCTTTAATATATATTTTTGGGCAAGTTAGAACACTGAAGCTCATGGAAATTGCCCTTACGTAATAGGTAGTTGTTACTTGGAACAAAAATCCTGGGGATAGTGATAAATTTAGGAGCACCAGACAATCTATTTGGAAGAAAGCAGGTCCTAAAATACAGTTTCTGGTGACCAAAAGAATTAGCCCAAAGATACAAGAACACGAATGTCCAAAGATACATGTGACAAGTTCAAATGAAATGTGAAAACTAAAGTACTGAAATACTATGTAAACACCCATCAACTAAATGCTAAGGACAGAGCCTCCTCCTCCCAAGTGTGTCTTTAGACCCTGGAGTCCCAGTAAGAGCATCACAACGGTCAGTTTGCACAGGCTTTGCTTTACTGAGCCTCACTCTCAGGCTGCAAGAGGCTCAGCTACTGGCTTTATGTTCCCCCTACTTATTCATCTCCCTCTCCCTCTTCCTCTTCCTCTTCCTTTTCCTTTTCCTTTTCCTTTCTCTTTCCCTTTCCCTTTTTCTTTTCCCCTTCCTTTTCCGCTTCTGCTTCTTCCTTCTTTTCTTCTTCCTCCTCCTCCTTCTCCTCCTCCTTCACCTCTTCCTCCTCCTCCTCCTCTTCCTCCCCCTCAGTCTCTTCTGATAGGGCTTCTTCCTCAGCCTCTTCTTGAGGCGCCATTTCAGAAGGAGTCTCTGACTTACTGTAGGCAATCACGATGCATATCATTATAAGGAGTATTGTGAGTATCAAAATGGCAGCAAGAACTATCAGTTTTAAGTTAAGTGCCAAGTCATTTTTATTTATCGAAGAGTTTTCACTCTCATACTCTATAACGTCTTCATGTTGTTGTCCAGCAGGTCCGCTGTCCACACTGCCTCCATTTCCTTTCCTCATGCAGTCAGGGGGTGCAAAGCCATGTGAACAGTGGCAGTTCCCTAAGTCATTGCAAACTCCATGTGCATTACAGTGTTGGTTACCGCATGAAGGGTCGGGGGAGTATTCGTTCATGTTTTCACAAAAGAAATTGTTACAAGCTTTATTTTCGCCACAGGGAGTGTTGTTCATCACATATGCTTCATATGGGTAATCTAATCTGCCATCAGAAATACCTATACTCCAGCACCATTCCTCTGTATAAGGGACTTGGATCAGTATGTGTTTCAGTTTGATTGGTGGTAAGA